TTTAGTAAAATTTAATACGTATGGAATATGTGGACATGAAAGGGTCTGATCTAATCATTTGTCAAAGTTCTTTTAGACGAATAATGCGAAGCCATTGATTCACAACATGTTAGAAAATACCTGTAGCAATAAGCTTTATGGTTTTAGTTCCCAGCTTGAATTTAAGTTTGAAGACAATGAGCCCTAACACAAGGCTTCTTTCATTGGCTGTTATATATTATATGTACTTACGTATCGAGCAGAATTGAGTGCATGTTTACAAAACTGACTTTCATTACCCATAAAAACATAACCACACAAGCAAATCAAAAATTTTTTAGTATTATTTTTATTATGTAATTCGTAACAAATTCTAATAAAAAAACAAAGTTAAATAAGAAAAATTCTAATACTTTGAAAGAAAAAACGAAAGAAACTCGATCAGTTGGATCTGATTAATATGTTCCGAGATTGTAGCGTTAACTTGGACAATAATATATGCCAAACTTTGCGGCAAATTTAATATATGTACATGTTAAAGGTCGGGTTTCAAGCGAGTTTTAATTAGGAAATTGTTTAAAAGAAATTCTTTCGGACTAACAGCGACAAAATATACAAAAACAAATTCAAGTATATTTTTAGCTGAAAATCGCTTATGAAGAAATATTTCCTTTCCTACAAACCGAACGTTTTACGACACAACAAAAAATACGTGCTATATTACTATTTATAGAAGAGCGCACAACCCTCGCAATGAATTTCAGCCACGAATAGCTAAAGCATGTTGATTCCCTCAGAATGACTGTGAATTAAGACCTTAAAAGCAGCAAAACGAGACACAAAAAACACTTAAAAGCTCCCCAGCCCATATGTTATTGTATGCACATTAACACAGAGGTATGTTTTTTTTTAATCAGAATAACAACACATCTATCTGTGGGAGTGCCAATAACCGCACCTAAATCAGTTTCGCTAGTGTGTGTGTCGTGTCACCTGTTCGCAAATGGTTGATTTCAATGAACCGGCAGTCGAAAAGTTTTTACTGCCCAGTCATTCCTTCCATCACTGTTTACCAACTTTGTAGCCACGCAAAAAACAGCTCGAGTCAAAAGAAGCTCACACAAAATCTTCTTATCGGATTTCAATGTCCGCTTTTTCTTTCTGTGTGTGACGCCCAGGGATTAATGACGATTTCAATATGGTTTGAGTTTGTGTGTGGGGTTTTTTTTGTTATTTGTTTTGAATTCATTTCTGTTTGAATGCGTTTATTTATCATTCATTTCTTTTGGCACAGGCGCTTCACTGGGCTTGGTGATAAATGGCATTTAACTGAAGTTGCGTATACGCAGCGCACAACTTGTGTATTTATATACCCAATAGCATTGTGGTTTCTATTATCGCTTGTGTATTTGTGGTTTGCAGTAAAGTTTGCAGAAGGCATAGCAATGTGAATTGCGGTTTTGTTAACTTTTTTTTTTAATATTCAACAATTGATTAAAATGTATCGAATTTGAGAATTCCATTGGTGAATTGAAATTTGTGCGTGCTTAATGTTGTTTTAAATAGTTTTTTATGGGTGCTCAGTCACCTATAAGAATGATTTGAAAACAATTAAAACCAGGTCATGACAACACGGAGAGTACAAAAGAACTACGGCTGTATAATATACATTTCTATGTTTTTAACGATGAGTACAACAAGGAATTTTCACTGTTTCTCCCTCACTACATTATTTTATCCGATTTTTTAGCACTGAAAAATCAATAAAGTTGCTGAGGTTCCAGTATATGGTCCAAATATTTTCACTAATGGTTTAAAGTTGAATGTCGATAGTGCTCTGCAGTGTCCTCAAATTTCTGGCTTATTTTTAAAGAAGAATTGCATAAAAACTGCACATGATATATGCACAAATTTTTTCAATCGTTAATTAATGCTTAAACTTTTATATAGAAACAAACAAAAAATGATTTCATAGCTCTAACCTTGGTGCGTCCTTGAATAAACCACTATCGTCGCGACATAGTCTACTTCTTGGCAATATATTTCTGCTTCAGTACACGCTGAAAACTAATAAAATGTTTATTATTTAATGTTTATAACTCAAGTAAGGATAACACATAAGATATTTTGAATATTCGAATATCTGATCAAATGGGAAAAAGTTTGAAAATTTGATAAAATGGCTCAAAAACTGTAGAAAGTCGAATGTTCGGAAAAAACATTCGAAAATCTGATATTATGGCTAAAAACAACTTTAAAGAATCGAAAAAAAATTTTTCACCAAAAACTCGTGTCTAAACATCTCGAGATGTTTTGAGAATCAGAGTTTGAACATCCTTTATAGTTTTGTCATAAACGCGCCAAAATTAAAAAAAAAACCCTTATTTTGGAAAAATCTGACTGAGTGAGATGAATGGAGTTTGGAACTCGATATCTCGTAAACCAACATATTTTCCATCAAATCCTTTATAGGGCTTGTTTTTATTTGTGTCTACATGATAAATGTGAAAATAAAAATCTATTTATTTTTAAACCGCGAGGGTAAACGAGCTTTTTTCTACAAGCTTTTTTCTTCAAGCTACATATATTGTGGTAGTTAAGTGGCACATAGGTATTTAGCATTCATTAAGTCGAAGTTAATTTGAGAAACTTGACAAAGTATCTTAAATATTAGATGTATTTGAGTATGAGCGCAGTCAGTGGAAACATACATATCAGAAATTATAAATAAATTAATGCATTTAATAAAATGTTATTTTCATATTGATTGCTTGTTTAAAGCATTTTTTAAAATCATTAAAAGTATTTAAATATAGAATATTTATTAAACAATATTAATGGAAATGAAATATTTCGATTCTTCTCCCCAAATAATAATAATACTTTTGTTTTGAAAATTAACAGTGTTATAAAAGTACTGTACTGCTATTTTGCTATTTTTAGACCTGATTAAAATACATACTTACATTCAGCTACACATACATATAGCTCTTATATAAGTCCGCCACTTTATATCAGCTGTCTATGACTTCATTTTGCCATTTACAAAGTGCAAATAGCTTTGCATACCAAATTGATAGCAGAGCAATCACAAAACACATCACACACGCATGCACAACCACATATAACAGCAAAGCTATAGACACCTGAGTAGCAATTTAATAGCAATGACGCCATGAATTGAGCACTCAAGCAATTTTCCCCCCACACACCAAGACATTCAAGTTGATTGTATGAGTGACTGTATAACTGAATTGAATTGACTACTTCGCAACAGAAGCAACACAAAATCAAACATTTAAAGTCGAAAATGTTCGCTCGTGGTTCAAGTATTTTGATTTTCTTTTCCTTTCAGTAAGAAGTCATACAAGCGTTCGCATTGCATATTTATTTATTTATTATGTTATGCCATTGACAAGTGTTCTTCAATTAAGTAATCAACAGTTGAAAATTTCGAGGAATTGAGTTATTTTAAAATATGGAATTTCATTTTTGCTTTTGAATTACTTAATTTAATTGGGGATAGTTTACATTTTGCTTATAAAAATGTTATCATATTCAACTACAATTCTGTGGAGTAGTTTCCTTTTAGAAGGATTGTTATTACTGAAAATATATTACAATGAGAAGTTGACTGTGTTGACTTAGCAAAATATATAAAATAAGTGTACTTGATAAAATTATTTTGGCAATACAACATACTGTTATCATAATAAAATGCCAACTGAGTTGCATTAAAGTACCTCGCATACCGTCACCAACATATATAAAGTAAAATCAACCGGATGTTTAAAAATTCTGTGATTAGTTATATGAGGGCTAGGGCAAGTTTTCACCCAATTTTTCTTATTTTAGCACAAAGATACACTGTTATAATAAAAATTTGATATTTTTATTGAGATGACTCACATACTGGCCGATATATGCGGTATAAAGTCACCCGGAAGTTCGGAATTCTTTATATTAGGTATATGAGGATTGGAGGAAATATTAGCCCAATTTAACCCATTTTGACACTCAAACATACTGATATCAGGAAAGATCCTGTCCGAATTTCAATTATTTATCTTACACATTCTACAATATTTTCGGTAAAAAGTCTACTATAAGCACTTGGGTTCACATATTTTGTGCCTAGGGGCTTGAACAGTTCTGGTACGATTTGGTCATAAGGGTGCACACTTCAGAGGGTTATTAATGGAAAGTTTTATCGCGATATATTAATTGGTGCTTGATTTGTATAATGCAAAGTGAAAGAATCAGATGGAATTAAAAGTTGTGTTATATGGAAAGTAGGCGTGGTTATAGTGCAATTTCTCACATCAGAGTATTGTTATAGGTGGAATTTGGTTTAAATTGGTCTAGTAGGTCCCGAGAAATATGATTTTACCTAAATGGGCGCCCTTTGACCAGTTTTGTCACCGGCACCTATCAAATGTGAAAAATTCAATGCCTTTGGCGCAGTTAGTAGTTTAAAACTGTTATAATGAGATTGTTTGGGGTTTTAATTAGATTTTATCATCTAGAATACCATCTCCGTTGGCTGCCGTGAAACATGCATACCAAGTTTCATCAAGATATCTTAATTTTTACTCAGGTCAAAACAGTCACTCGAAATTCAACTCTTCTCGTCATCCTGTTCTTTTATCGTTTTAGGTGTTACAAACAACCGTTAGGTGAATAAAACTATTATATGGTACTTTGTAGCGACATGTTGCAAGACCACAAAATCAGTCCTTCACTTTAATAGTGGGAGGAAGATAGATCGCAAAACCGGGCAATTTCACGAAAACATTTTCTACTCCCTAATACGAGCATATACAATTTTAGGTTAATCAAGTTTCTTCCCATAAATAAATATGTTCCCCATATAAATTTGGATTTTTCTAAAAACTATGATGTTTAATGGCTGCTGGTGGTTTAAACTTTACCATATTTTTTTAAATCATACCACAAAATAAAAATATATTATTGTTAAAATTTCACTAACGGTAATATTATCTCTTCTTGTCTCTTTACAGTCACAGAAAAAGAAATCAGACAATGGTGAGTAAGACATAATAAACGCAATGCTTTTATAACAAGTTATTCAATTCACTTAAAAATCACCACACACACTTAGTCAATATTGAGTTTCAAAAAGCGAAAAGAAAAATTGCGAAAACCAGCATTAAAGTAAAATTTACAAATTGTCAAGCAGTCAAATGAACAACAGTTTCTTTGGTATTGTCAATAAAATTCTTGTTTCAAAGAAAAGCCTCATGAAAAATTATACCAAAACTAGACAGCAAGCATTTAAAAAGAAATTCCTCTAGATTCTGGACACATTCATTTTCATTTGCGTGTATGTGTGTGTGCACAATTACGGTGTATTAAACAAGCCGCCACTGGCATTAACATTACATTACATTCATGTCACAAGTTGTATGAAAATTTACCGACCATAGGCGCACAAAAACAACAATAACAGCAAGAGCAAGGAATCAAAGCAAAGCCACATATCATCCAGCTGCTGCCTGTTAAGCCTCCTTCTGAAAATCTTTTGCCCACACGTTGCTTATTGCCGGCTTGAATTAGTGCTCGAAAGCAGATGGTATTATTCAATTCAATCGCATTAAAAAACACATGCGCACACATACACAGCCGCATGAATGAGTGTGTGCGTGTGTCTGCCCCAAAACAGCTAAATACAATTTTACTTAAATGAAAGATGACAGCAATTTTTTAATTCATTCCACACAGACCCAATTTGGTTGCCGACAAAGTGTGGCAAATTACTCTACGTCGCTTTCCTCACCACTTTGCCTCTCACTGGCTTGCTCTGCACAAGCAAACAGGTGGATTAGTCATAAGTAGCAGATTATGCGGCTTTATACTTACATTATCTAACGGTATCCTTGTGTACATTAAACCCACAGACACAAGTGTGTTTGTTGTTATGCAAAGAGCGACAGCCGAGAAATTTTTGTGGCAAATTATTCCAAATGGAATTTTAATTAGTTTGAAAAAGGCATTTTCTGTAGATTAAATGAATTTTAATTACCAGTCTTGTTGCTGGCACCATCGGTTGTCATGGCGGCGAAAACAATTTTCAAGTCGTCGCAAGTAAACGCGAATTTACAGCGGATTTGTGTATTAACACGGTAAATTGCTGTAAACAATGCCGAAGTATGTTGAACAATATTTACTCGCTTAATCTTCTTGGAGCATTCTTCTGACCCAAAATTTGAAATCGTATAAAAAATTCTACACAAGTCATTTTAAGGTTTTAAATAGTAATAAAAAAAAAACAAAATCTTTGGTGCTATGCTCTATGAATTCTTTGCATAATTCGCATCCTAACTCCATATTCTTGAGTATAATAAAATGATAATTAAATTTATGTAATTAAAATGGAAAGTTCATTATTGTATGGCAAATAATAAATTCTTCTTATGATTTCCTTAAGCTCGTAAAATTAGAAAAGGTTTTTGGTAATATACTTCTTTTTATACCATGAACAGGATATATTAAGTTAGACACGAAGAACACCCAGAAGGACACGTAGGGTCTCCGACGTTTGTCTGTCTGTATATACGCGAACTATTCCTCACTCAGTTGATGAGATATCGATCTGAAATTTTGCACACATCTTTTGTTCTTAAGAAGCTGTTCATTTCAGTCGGAACCGCCTTTATCGGACCACTTTAGCATATAACTGCCATACAAACTAAACCATCGGAATCAAATGCTTGTATGGAAAACTTTTTCGTATAACGAGATATCTTTAAGAAATTCGAAATGGGTTATTTTATAGCGTAATTGTGCAATCTGCGAAGAACCTGTTCATATCGGATCTTTATAGCATATAGCTGTCATACAAACTAAATGATAGCAATCAATTACTTGTAAGCAAAACTCGTCATATGACGAGATATCGTCAAGAAATTTGGGGCGGATTATTACCTAAAGCAATAATCGGATTTCCGAAGAAATTGTTCGGATCAGATCACTATAGCATATAGCTGCCATACAAACTGACTGAACGGGATCAAGTGCTTTTATGAAGAACTTTTTCATTTGACGAGATAACTTCACGAAATTTGGCATGGGACAACAGACAATGGTGCAATATCCGAAGAAATTGTTCAGCATATAGGTGCCATATGAGTTGAGTGATCAAAATCAAGTTCTTCCATAGAATACATGGTATTTGTGAAAGGTGTTATAGCTTCGGTGAACAAAATTAACGTTTTTTCTTATTTTTTCCTGAGAACATTCCTCCTCACAATACAAAAGGCAATTTATTTCATTGCTGATTGCCACATAATCCTCTATACCTCTTATAGAGAATGATGTCTACTAACAAACTTTGCTCGCTGCTCCCTTGTTCAAAAATTTCTATTTAAAAGGAACAATAAGATTATCGAATTGAATGCGTACAAGAGAGTATTACGATACCTCATTTTAGTGGGCAAATCGCTATCTTCAATGCTAAGTTTTGTTTTGAATATTTTTTACCGTTGTGACGGCTCAAATGACAAATTATTGTCAAAAACTAAAATACAAAGACTACAATACATATATTACTTTAGTGCAACCTTATTCTAACATGTCTTTTGGCCCATTGTAATAGATTTTAAGTTTAGACTTTGGTTAAAACTTAAAATCAGTTATAAATGGTTTTAGGAAACAAAACTAAGAGGCAATCAAAATATTTTTTTACATGAAAAAATAAAAGTTTCTCTTTAAAAGGCAACAGCGTAACACAAATGGATGAAAAGACATGCTAGAATAGGGTTGCACTCAAAAAAAGTTTGTATTTTGCATTTTTGTTGAACTTCTTTCATTTTCTCTTTTGCTCGATTCCCTACTCTCCAACGCTTGGCGAATCGATACAACTATTATTGTTCAGCCAGTCTTGGAAATTTTTTACCAACTTTAAAAAACAGACATGTTGTAACATTATAGGAAACTACTTTTATGTTAAGGTTCCATAACTCTGATAAGTTAAGGAGTAAATAACCGATAGCTTCAACTCTTTTATCTAGAGAATTTGTTTCACAGTAATGTATCCAAGTAATCTTTAACTAACATAGGAAATAGTCTCAAATTTCCAAACTGTGAAAAAGTTAACAATTTTCTTGCTTGACCAAACCTTTGTGGTTTATATTAGACGAGCAGAAACTCTATTAAACATTTTTTGTATAGAAAGATTTGTAAAATTATAGTTGCTTGATATCTACTTGATTACATATAAAACACTTAATAAATATTTGTTTTCCTACTCTTCTTAAAGGCACAAAGGTTTTCTGAAAGACTGTCCGAATGGTTTGCTGACGGAACAAGTAAGTAAAGTCAATATTAATAAGTAATATTTCAATTTAATTTTTACACTACATACACACACATTAAGTAATACAAATCCAATTATTACACTCATCGTATCAATTGAGTCAAATGTATCGGAGAATTTAAGAAAATTTAGTGAACTGGTTCCTAGTTACATGACTTTCACGTACAAAAAAATAATTTGAAGATAATAGATAATACAATTCATATAGATTTAAAAAGTGCATAGAGGACTGCCTTTTTGGACTTTTTCTGAATGCAGAAATTTTATTTGATTGAAATTCGTTAGGCAGGCTCATTTTTATGATTGATATAATGAATTATGTAGAGCTCTCTTTCTCTCTAACCAATGTATGACTTTAATAAATCATTTATTTAGGGTACCAAAAGTGATGTGGAAATAGATTTCATAAAAGACAAAATTGAATTCAATAAACATACTTGATTTTACAAAAAATTAATAACTCGAACAACAATAGAAACATCACAAAATACCATATATTTTGAAGTTAAACCTAACTCTCCGAATTTCCATTTTAAGGCAATGTTCGGTGCAAAGAAAATGCCTAATCTCAGGCTTATTTTCATACAAAAGTACTACAAATTCGTTTTCGAAACTTTGAAAAATCGATACTAACGGTGTATGGCCCCGATGGCAACAATAAGTCTTTACGGTAAAATCGTCTCTTTTTCTGGGTACTGGAACCAAAAAAATTTTGTGAGAGATGACTCAGTCCCAGTAAAAAAGTATTTTCTCCATTTTTCAAGGTTATCCGCCAAAACTAAAATATTTGTCTTCAATTTTCGAAATTAGGCTTATTGAAAAACATTGTTAATCATTTTACAAAAAAAAAACTCGGGACATTCTGCATATTTTCCTCTCATTACAATGATATATAACATTTTTCAATCAAGCTTATATAGCAAATTACATAAGGAGACAAAGTGGGACATTCGAAAAAATTATACTTAAAAACAAGACCGGTTTTGCGAAATTTCTCACCGCTTTTGTATGGAATGGTCTTTGAATAGGAATTGTTGAAACTAAGTCATATTTTAAAGCAAAAAATCGATCGTTTTAGGAAATCGGTATCGGAAAGTTGAAACACTATTATTGCTTTATCGCCACATATTATAAAAATAAAATGGAAATTTGCCAAAAAAGAAAAATATATTTTTTTTAAGGCAATACCAGCTTTTTATTACTACGAGGTATCTTAACATACTCTCTTGAAAATATATGTATATTTGATGAAACTTTTTGGTTCTCAGAATGACTTGAGATTCTATATACGAGTACATATAACATCATTTAATAGCGATTATTTCTTAAACCAATACCTCAGCGCAACATAGCGAATATTGATTTCCAACGCAAATTTAAACTTCAATTCATATCGAGTGCTAGATTATCTGATGTTTGACGGCGTTCGACCTTAGCCCTTGAAATATTTATTTCACACAAATTTTATCATCGTACTTTATTTGCCACAACTAAGTTACTGAGAAATTTTGCGAAACAAAACATTCATTTGTTGGCTAATTTGCTATGTGAGTAAAAACGCAAAATCCGACAAAAGCATAAAATTCAGCCAATATGTGCAAGCTGCCACAAAATTCAGCTGCAAAACAAAACAAAGCAGAATACAGCACAAAACAAACAAAAAGTTGTTGTGGTTAACACCATAAACCATAACGAAAGATTTAAATTTCTACTTATTCCTCTGCTGCCGCCGCACTTTATAGTGCTGGGATTTGCAACTTTTACGAGTAGCAGTAAACATATACATTAATTCGAGTATATACCTACTTACGTAACCACTTGGAAAAAAGAGAAAAATATTATCTGACAGTAGTTGTTTTTTGTTGTTTACGAAAAATATTTAATGCCCCCCATTTCCATTGAATTGGTTGCTTTATATAACGAAAATATAGGTATATATTTTCAAGTTACATATTTGCAGAAGTGTTGATTCATATAGTAGTTGTAGTTGGATGAGTAGTGGTCTTACAACTGTCAACTTCAAGTAACTAAGTGTACTAACTGTCAACTTTAAAATCTTAGAAGATTACTTAAGTTAGGTTATGAGATCGGCCTTAATAGGGATATCACTTGGACAGCTTAGAAAGCCGGTCCGATTTATTACCTAAAACTCCTATATAAATATCATAACACACTTACAAATCGACAAAACGCTTTGAGCCTATCACAAATTTGTTGAGACGGCTAAAGTCAGCCAGTCATAACTGTCTCTTTGTTCGCCGACGGTTAGGCTGTCTAGATGTTTCAACCTCAGTTTTTAAAAACTAGATAATGGAGGGAAAAGTAACTGGATGTTTCCACCTCACCCTCCACAATACAACTTTAACAACTTGCGTCCGTCAAGATTTTTAGTTTTCCGCAGGAGTGCCTATTGTATAATGTCCAGTATAAACCCTTATAGTTGCGGCAAGATAAACTTTGCTAAGGCAAACAGTTCAGGAGATCTTGTAGTCGCACAGGAGCCAGTCGTCGACTAGCACGTACTAAGTGTACGCGAGGTCTATTGATCCAGTGCTAGAACGCATCATGTCAATGGAGATTCCAGTTATAATGGCCAAGGGTGCCCTCTAGCTACCTCAGGTACCACCAGAGCACCGAAAAATATACGTATACTAGAACATTGCACTTCCAGCTCCAATTTCCTCAGTAAGTTTCAAAGTATTTCATCATGATTTGATCCCCAAAACCCTAAACAACTTCGACGAAAAACTGTTTCATGTGAACATAACCGGCCCCGATATGAGGTCTCAGCTTACTCTCCACTTGTATGGACACTGCAATGTGAACAAATGCACAGCTTACTGAATACCTGAACATTTCTGGTTATAGATTTTTATACCCTGACCATGGTATATTAAGTTTGCCACGAAGTTTGTAACTTCCAGAAGAAAACATTGGGGTCCTAATAAAATATATACCATATGTATGTATATAGATGATAACTGTGACGTGCGGAGTCAATTCAGCCTATCCGTTTGTATAATTACATATATGTATTTTCAAAAATACTGCAATAATACCAAAAAAATATACCTCAATTAATTTTGAATTACAACTATTTCTTCGTACTCACATAACTATAAGCCTTTTTGACTGTTTTGCTTTTTTTTTTTGTGGCATAGTACAATACGATTAAATTGCTAAAAATTTCATCCGTTGGTGTTATTGTTGCTACTTTAGCTTGAGGCATTCGGGTACCGTGCGTCAGCTGTTCGCTTTATGGTTATATTTTATAAACAGCACATAAGCAGACGCCCACGACGCTAGTCGACAGTTATAAGAATAACAACAAATGGATTTTCTCCACTTCAATGACTTAGCGCCGAAAAGTATGCCTAATAAATACAATTTATGATTGCGAAGTAGTTTAGGTTGAAGGATAACTACAGTGGTATGAATCTAAATTCGGAAGTGAAGGCCGAAAATTTTTACTTTAATTTGTAGTGAGAATTTATTTACACATATATCGTAAATAATTCGCGAATGGGGAAATGTTGTTTTGTTATTGAAAATGGATTTAGTATTTCTGAATTTCGAAATTATTTATAAGAGATATCGGGCTCAGTATATGGTATGCTCCCCTTTAATGACCACACATTTAATCGAGAATAAATAAATAGCAGTACCTTGCATCAGATATAATTAGCAACTAATTATGAGCTTACCTGTAAGTATAAAAATAGGGCATTGTAAATTGTAAAGACAAATTATAAACACACATATAGGGTATGTTACAAATATTTATAAAAAAGATTAGAACAATATTTTTTGTAAATGATAAGCTTAAACTGTAAAAGCATCTGTAAAATTATTTTGTTTACTTCTTCGAAAATTCAATTGATATATGTTTTTTTGAACTATAAACTAAACTACGACATCATTGCGGTAATTAATTGCAATAGCGTTTTTCTATCTACTCGGATATACAAATTCGAGCAAGAACAATATTTCTTCTCTAACTCCAAGTACGATCCTGAAATTTTTAAGGTTACTGGGGCTAGATGAGCCTTTGGGAAGAGAGAATAACACAATACACTGCAAGTCGCAGTTTATACCTATATTTAAACCTAATTTTAAATTATATTCTGCTTAAGGTCTCGACTGAGAGATTTCACACAGTTTTCAAATTCTCAGAATGTCACACTCTTGTGACAATCCAAGTTTTTGAAGTTTTACAATAAGTGGTTTTCGCTAAAACTCTTCATTGCCTGTGATCTTTTTTCGGTTTTGACCTCCCTTAAATGCAAAACAAAAACAATGTACTTCGGTGACAGCAGTTATACTTGAATTTTTTTGCTCTGGAGTCGTCAATAAAACAACTTAGCAACGTCGCTGAAATGGCTTGATCTAATTATTATCCTTATATCTTGAATATCTTTCTGTCCTTTTATCCATTTTTAAATTTCAAAATACCCAATTTTTTTTCTTATATATCGAATGTGCATATATTCGAAAATATAACACCGGTCAACATTATTTTTGGGCACGACCTATACACTTTATTTTTGTTGCTTTTATACCTCAAAATAAGTATAAGAATAAAAAAAAGATCTGTATTTACTTTTATATAAAAAAATGGAAAAATTCAACTCAATAAAAATACACAAAAATTTAAATAGTTTATTAAGTGATTTATTAAGTGATACCAGTCATTCAATTTGAATTTATTCTTACAATATACATTTTAAAATAGACTCTAAATGTTTAAAAACGAACAGATTTACTTTTCCTGTCATGTTCCTAGTACTGTATACTGACCTTGGTAACGTCTTTCATATACCGTTATATCTTCCATGTGCATCTTTAGAGACATTCTATATCCGTCATTCTATATCTCGTCATAATTATCAGCACTATGGTTTCCTAGTAAACCATGCATTACTGCCTTAAGACTATTCCAGTTATTTTTTTTCTCCTCATTGCTAAGTAACTGCGGGAAATAGCACAATCCATAATCTTTTTATTTGAGAGCCTAAAAAGATGCCAGAAAAAAAATCGTCATATATTTGAAAAATGATCACTTGGGCTTTCTCTTGGTCAAATATTTTTGATTTGTAATCGTTCTTTCCCACATATATTTACTTATTTAACCAGAATATATTAAATAGAACCCATTAAAAAATAATAATTTGTTGACCTGTGTAATCCGAAAAGTTTCTGTTGAGCGTATTTGTAATTTGAATGTTTTAACTTAATGTAATTGACTCCCAAAACTTTTAATGCGTTTTTCTCGAAACACTGTTTACAAAGTTGGTGAGGAAAATTCCTCGGAAACGGCTGAGCCGATCGAATGAAAGTTACACACGATCTTCTTAGATATATTTGTCAGGTAATGATCGAAGAAATGAGATTTAAATAATAATTTCTATTTTTTAACCACTTTGAAATGTAAATTTTTTCACAAAAACAAGTCTTTTTTTGGGAAGCCGCCATTTTATCAAAAATCAAAATGTTATCTAGTCCTTCGATCATAACCTGTAGTCAGCTATTGTAATAAGAATCTTTTAAACTTTGTATCTGAGATCATTTAAAGCAGACAAATCTTCCTCACAGCAAGACACCCTTTTTCGAAGGTCCTCCTCGAAGCCTCGAAGGATATCGGCTACGGGATCAAAAGAATCCAAACCTTTTCAAAATTAATCTAGGACCCTTAAATTAAATTAAAGCTTGTAAGTATTCAATATTTTTATTTATTAACTTAAGAAAGTGTATCTGCAAAAATAATTCACTTTTAAGTGGATATAACTCAATTAAGTCCCAATCTGCCGACCTCATATGACTCTGATATTATTAACATAGCAAGCATAGCTTGGCTTTTTGGAATAGGTATTATAGGAAAAATTAGTCAGATGAAGTCGTTTTTTCGACCTTAAACCTGAAAAGAGTAAAGTGGACTTATTCTAAAAATGGTTGAATATCCGATCAGTAGAAATCGTGCAAGCAACTTTTTTGTTGAAAATCAGATTTATTAATTAATAATCACAATTTAGACATTACTAATTTGAACCGGAGTTACTCAGTTATTTTATGTTATATTTAGCAGCACCAACACTACTATGTATACAACATTAAATTGCTTAATTTTTAAAACAAAAACTTGTAACAACAGTAATAACTGCAACAAAAGTAACTGTTGTTGAACCGAAGCAGAAAAATGGAGAACACGAACGTACAAGCTAAAAATAATAATAATAAAACAAACAACATGGCGCCACACTTTGCCAACTTTCATGTTTTCCTGTTGGTCATAACTCGATTTTCACACTCACACAGCACCAACACACACGCCGACACCTACATATGTATATAAATATTTTTTTTGCCGTCCACACCACACCCACACGTGACAGTTGCTCTGACTTTGCGCGTGTCCTACCAACATGTCAAGATTTGTTTTTATTACTTGTTGTTGTAGTTTTACGAATTTCATATTTATGTGCTTTTTCACGCTCATATCTTCGTTATACTTTACAGGGTTTTATTAAAATTTACAAACAATTCTTTCCGCAAGGAGATCCAAGTAAATTCGCATCGCTGGTGTTTCGGGTCTTCGACGAGAATGAGGTGAGTAATGCGCGGAGCATAAGCCGATCATATATACATACACACACACACACAACCTCACAAAAAATACATACCTATAAGTATAGCAAATAATAATAAAAATGTTGAATGACTACAAAAGCAACAACAAAGGCGCTATTTCGCTGTCGAGGCTATCCATGCTCGTCTCTCACCTACACATAGCTATGCTTTTGTGTAGTGCTGGCAGAGAACATTGGTTTCACCGTTGCTTTTATTTGAATTGGCAGCTCATTTATTAATACAATCGACTTCATGCCGCGCAATTGCAATTCAATTTTATTCAATTCGATTGAATGCAATCAATTTAGTAAAGAAAAAATTTCTTCAATATTTCTCGGAACACATGAACACATTTATAGAAACACTAACTTACTCAAATTAAATAGTTATTGTGCTTTTAAATTAAACATCAAGAAAATGGACTAACATTTTCAATTTTCTTTTATTTTTTTAATTTTCTATTTCATTCTTAACCATCGCTGCCTATTCGTTTTCATCTTTTCTCCGCCACGTGTTATTTCTCTCTCTTTTTCTTGTTCTTGTTCTTGTTGCTTGTCTTTGTTGTCTATTGCATTGCAGGATGGTGCGATTGAGTTTGAGGAGTTCATACGGGCGTTATCGATTACATCACGTGGCAACCTGGATGAAAAGCTGCAATGTAAGTATGAATATTTGCACACATGTGTTATACGAAATTGTTTATGCATTTTTCACACAGTTATTTGTTAGCGTAAATATGAGAGCAAAGATCGTTAAAGTTTGTGAATAGGAAAATATATACATTTGCTCTTCTAACACTTTAAGTTTAGGTATAGGATTGTAAATAAAAACGCGGAGAAGCGCTTAGCAATGAGTAAAAGAGAAAAAGTCAATGTAGCGAAGCGCGCCATACTACCACTATTGTCTAAGGTCAACACAATCGAGAGTTGGTGAGAAAGCTCTTCAGTTGGCTCTTACTAATCTCCCAAAATTCTAAGGCCAAGCCAAGTAGTTTTATAAATAGTAATGAGCTCAAAAGGTGTGTTCCAAAAGTTCATAATTCTTGTGTATATACAGAATTATGTTTAAAATAAAAAGCTCTCAAGTGCTCTTGTTAGACCTTTGTGTCACGCAAACAGCTATTTCAAAACGTTTAAAAATAGCCGGACACATTCCATAGCAAGGAAATTAGATGCCATACGATGATTTTACATGCCAGAAATTCTGCTTGAACGCTACAAAAAGAAGTCGTTTTTGCGTCGAACTGTGACTGGCAATAAAAAATGTATTAATTATGACAACAATAAATCAAAAAATTCATATGTGACACCTGGCCTACCAGTCAAATCAACGGCAGAGCCATGACGCCAAAGAAGTGCTTTGTATTTGGCAGGATCTGAGAGGCATTCTGTTTTATGAGCTTCTAAAACCGGGTGAAACCATTAGTGGGAAACGCGCTTGACAACAACTCATCCGCTTGATGGGAGCCATTGCCGAAAAATGCTTAGAATTTACGACAAGATACAATGCAATAATTTTCCATCATGGCAACGCTCGGCTTCATGTTGCAAGACCGATTTAAACCTATTTGGAAAACAGCTTCTGGGAAGTTTTGTCTTACCTAATTTGTGGAGTAGCCCTTGTCCCTTCTGACTACCATTGGTTCCGGTCTTTACATAATGTCCTTACTAAAGTACGGTTCACATCAGAACAGGGTATCAATATAAAAAAAATAAATGCCAGTAAGATGGGAAAATGATATAGCTTTAACTATGCAATACTTTAGATGATACTATTTTACTTGTTTTTTTTAAATAAAGGATGCAATTCTGGAGGGAAAAAACGCATGTAGTTATAGAGCCAATAGTAATCTCAGGATGGCTGGAAGATTGTACGCAAAAACCTATAATATTTAAAAGTTACACAAAGTAGTACACGAGTACTACATCCAACTACGACAGTCAAGAAGAGTCGAAAGATACGAACATATTTTGAGTAGGAGCTGGAGTCAATCTTATTTGACTATAATTCCTTGTTTAATAATACTTTTAGCCTTATTCGGCACGAATAGATAAACAAACATTTTGACATTCGCGATGAAACAAAGGATTGGCCAGAAAAATTGATATTAATAGTAGTTGTAATTTTTTGATTGGATTGATTGAGGTAGACAAGCTTACTGTATAATAGGATTGGTAATTTACAACCGATTTAGCTGAAAATAAGACAGTTCTATTAACTATCCCTTAATACGCTATCAGATTTTTCATTTATGTAGGCATGACTTTAGCTATATAACACTTTTCATAAAATATTAACTTCACATACGGATAATTGAATTTATGTAGAAGAGGATTTTTTATTCATAAGAAGTAGATTAGAGTGTTGAACCTTTTTATATCTTTTTAACTTTAATAGTAATTAATAATATATATATTTTTTTTTAAGGGGCATTCCGACTCTATGATGTGGACAATGATGGCTACATAACGAGAGAAGAAATGTATAATATAGTGGATGCAATATATCAAATGGTGGTAAGTAAACTAAATTGATTTCAGAAACCAATTTAAGGACATACTACATTTTTACCAACTACCTTATTTGTAACAATTATTTCAATAAATTTTTAATTCGATACAGTTTTTTTTACCAAACTATTATTTTGACATTTTTGTGTAGAATAGAATAGTACCTCGTATTAACCTTACCATATTTTATTTATTTTTATTCGTATTCTTTTTATCCATACACTTTCATAGGGTCAGCAGCCGCAAACAGAGGAAGAGAACACGCCGCAGAAACGTGTGGACAAAATATTCGATCAAATGGATAAGAATCACGACGATCGTTTAACGCTCGACGAATTTCGTGAGGGTAGTAAAGCTGATCCACGTATAGTGCAGGCGTTAAGTTTAGGTGGTGATTAACCAAAAGAGACTTAGTTTAATTCTGCTATAGATTAAACGAGGAAACTCAACGGAAATAAAAAACAAAAACAAAAAATAGTTTAAAGTACACTGCAGGAAAAAAAAATAGCAAAGTAATTGTAATTACAAATAATAATAAAACAAACAGAAGGAAGGCATAGGTTGATAGAGGTAAAAAATGTATGAAGAAAAGGGTGTAAAGGCAAAAGAGAAACGTACTTTATACGCACACAGCCGTACATACATGACTACTTTGGTGGCATTAGACTACCAAAAGCGCTTAATACACACTCACTCACATGTAAACACTCATATGCATACATGTATATGTACATATACATTTGAGGAAAATATCACCACAACTACATGACAGTTAGGTTAATGATACAAAAATATATGCGAGAATAGAGCAAGCGGTAGAAAAGCTTCGAATACCGATTATGTTAATGGTTTGCAAATACAAAAACCAAAAACACATTAACAAACAACCAAAACAGTAAAAGTAATGCAATTTATAAAATATACTCATTGCAAATGTAGGAGAAACGGGTTTAGCGTAGTTAAACAAAATTCAAGCTGCAATCAATAGACATAGGCGTACATGCATTAAATAGCATACATATGCAATGTACACAAACACACGCACACACATACATGCAAACATATAGTTTATAGTGATGTCAACGAAACGGTAATCAAAATCTGCCCACAAATATGACGGCTATACACTCGTAGCGTCAAAGCAGCTCACAAAATACAAAATTTATTGAAACACTTGTACTAAAAAAAAAGAAAATAATATTCAAAATTCAAATTAACTTGGCAGCACAATTGTATAAAGTTAAGCTAAATTTCTGTAGAAAACGAGGCGAAATCAAAGTAAATTATTTAATATACAAAATTGCGAAATTGCATGCAGCCACAAAAGGTCGAATACAAAGGTGCGTTTTGAACAACAAAAAAAATTAATGCTAATAAACAATAACAAAAACATTTGCAAATATTTCCAAGTAAAACGTAATTTATATGCAAAATAAGAAAATGATTTTTAAATATGCTTATAACAGTAAATTTAAAAATAAAAAAAAAACATACATACATATATACACACACAAAAATTACGATATATGGTAAAATACGTTAAAAAACTTGCTTAAATTTTTGAAGGCATGCAGTGCTCAAGTAGCAAATTAAATGCTACAGCTGCAAATGAGAGTCATGCTTTCCTAGCGTTACAATACAACGCGAAATAATAACTGAGATCATGTATTTGTAAATATTAGTCAAACGAAATTGTTATAAACAATGACACCAATTTAAAATTTATTACATAAAGCTATTAGAATATTCCAAAAAATTACAACTTGAAAAATTTACCTTACTACTTTTATTTGAAACTTAAAACTCGTCCTTAAGACGTTAAAAAACTTTCAAATAGTATATTACTTATAAAAATTAAAATTAAATAAATATTGACATTAGCAAATTCGATTAGAAAACAATTTTATTGCTTAAAAGTATTGTAGAAAGAAGCATAGAGATGTGCTTCGAAAAAATAAAATTCTAATTCATATTTGAAAATTGCTTCTCATAAACTTTTAACAAGCAGTGGCTTTGTTTCGATTTTTAAACATAAACCTAATAATAACTCATAAATATATACAAATTTGTTTATCCAGCGCTTAAATAGTCATAGATATGGAAAAAGTCAGATAAATATTCAAAAAATGTATAATACTTTCTAAACTTCTAAAGCGCTTTTAGACTAGTGCAGCAGCCTTTGAAAATGGTAAAAAGGTAAAGAAATTCATAGTAGCATGAAACCCCTTGGAAACGAAAAATTAAGTAACAGAAATGAAAAGAAAAACAATTTACGAGCCATCTGTGGTAGGGAAGAGGAAGTGGAGGAAGGAGTGGTTGAATTTTTAGGGGTCAAAAACGGTTCAAATATTATAGCGGCAACCTTATATCGACATAGAATCGAAAGAAACCGCATTTTCAATCAAAATTTCTTACGTCAAAATATCAAATTTTTTTAAATAAGCAGACTTTATGTTTGTTAAAATCTCTGCTTTCTGATATTTTGTAACTTCCATAGGATTTTTAGTTTTATCGAAAATCGAGATAAACTCTTTTTAACCTTTAAAAATGAAACAACTTCCTATCATACCGACCTCAGGTCGCCCTTAACTTATTTTTCCTTTAATTTTTGATATTTTATTTTTCGTATGCAATGAGTTTCAATCAACTTACGATTAACTTTTGAAAAAGCGCCAAAAAACTTATGAACTTTTATAACTAAAGCTTTAAAGTTTGTTTCTTGCGAAATATGGTAAAGTAATTCAAAAATATTCTTCTCTCTAGTAACCAATATACTATCGAGAAATGTCAAGTACTCGACCTTACATTTTATTTTCTAGCAAAATGATACACTTTAGATTTTTTAGGTATAATGATACTGTTTTTGATTTTTGTCAATAAAAGCTCATGTTTTCGTTACTAATTGGTGACATAAAATCGTCTTAATCTGCTAAAAGCTAAATCGATTTACTCTTTTCTAAGAATGACAAAGATGATGACTATAAGGGTATCGATCTCTTAAACTAAACAGTTCAACACTAAAGTAACGACATTTTTGTGCGGTTATTGGTTTGGAGTGCGTTTGACAGAAATTTATTGTTTTGTGACGTCATGACCGAAAACAACATAAGCGTCTTTTTACAACTATGAATGAAGGTCGGTCATATCAAACCGTTACGGATAACTTAATTAGAACATTGTTATAGTACTGGACATTTTTGAAAGTTTTCTTATTCTTACAGTATTTGTATCGTGAATAATAAAAAAATAGAAAGTTAAAATTAAAAAAAACTAAAAGTTTTTTTTAATGACTATTTTCAAAGCATATAATTATTTATTTTATTTATTTCAACTTTTATATTATATTAAAAAGTATTCGAAGTCAATTTTAGTAATAACTTCCATTAAAACCGTTTAACTATATGTTTGAAACATAAAATTTTTTAATTATTAAAAATATATTCCCATTGGTATACCCAAATTATAACGAAAGTGAGTACTTTGTTCAAAATTTTTCAAACTTTCGCCATTTTTATATAATCGTAATAATATACGCATGTTTTTTCTTTGCAAAATTTTCAATATATTATATACGTAAATGTTAGTCAAAATCTAAATACTTTTTAAATTTTTGCATGCTTGAAATTTTTATTCGTTAAACACTTTTAATAAGTTACAACATTTATATTTCTCAAAAAATATTCACTATTAAAGTACACACAATGAAATTTTAAATAAAAATTTATAAATTTTCTAAATACTTATACAATTTATCCTTAAACTCACACTTGTACTTTCTAATGTTCATATTTTCTAAAGTTATATAACAGTGGTTTCAATCAACATAATTCAATGACTATATGTTTACGCGAATTTTAATTAAAGAAAAAGTACAGAAAAGCACAGCTTTAAGTGACCTCCGAATAGCAGTTTTGTGGAGAGTACTGACAAGGCATAATCAAGCATTTGGCTTTTATCATAACCTCAAAAAGCCTGCGCTATTTATCGGTTTTTAACTTCTTAAAAATGCTCTTTAGTGTGACGTCACAATAGCGTAGTTATATAGAGATAACTAATAATAAACTTAGAAAAAAAGCTAGGACTAAAGATTAAAGCTGTATGAGAATGTTGTGGTTTCTTTTTCAAACTTTTAATTGTCAATATTAATGTGACTGCAGTTATTTTGTTTTAATTTTCCAAATTAAAAAGCTTGTCAACGTCAGGTCAACACACATTTTAAAAAGTTTAGAAAGTTGTTAATTGCGAAGTTCTACTTAATTTGTTTCTTAAAATTTTAACTTTAACTTAATAATCCTCTTGGAAAGCTTAATTTGGCGAAGCAACTTAAAGAAAATTTTTAACATATACAAATTATTTCCTTTAGAAACGAATTTGTATACTCAATTCGTTATATTATAAGCAGATTACTACTTAATTTTTTGTAGAAAATTTTCGAAAAGAGTTCTGGAGACAAACCATAGCATTATTTTGGCAACGATACTACTTTATTTTCACTCATATGTGAACAAAGCGTGCTGTTATGGTTCTAAAGACAGCAAAATTAGTTGTCGTGTGCTGGCATACATTTCCGAATTTATTTACTGTTATTTTACATACCTTCAACTTTACATTTATACTTATTCCTGCACATTCAACACTAGTTTCTCTCTTTTGTATTACTTATTCTACGTCCTCAACCTTTTTCAGTGTATCACCAATCTAAAATAATTTCTGTTTTATATGTGGTTCAGCTTTATTCTTATATATAATACCAAATAATAAATTTAATTAAATAATTGCTAAGTAAAAAAAAAATTAATAGAATTGTTTGTTTAGCCAAAATATCCATAAATGAATTGAATTACATTATGCGAATAAAATATATTAAGAAAAAAATGCAATGTACTTTAGATAAATTAAATAAAGCAGTTTGTACACATAGCCTGTTTAAGTCGAATTCATGTCGTAAACTATAAAAAAAAACTTCAAATAAATGAACTATATGCATATTCGAAGCAGCTAGTTTTATATTTTCTATATTTTCAATACCTATTAATCTTTATATACACATTTAAATTAAACAAAATTAATTTACTAATCAAACTTTCAATGCATATAAGTGCAAAAAATTTTATTTGAAATATTTATATTTTATAAAAATCTAAAATATCTAGCAAACACTTTAAACACCTACTAATTAAAATGTATACACTTGCAAGCCTTAGAACTGTACCTTCTGTTTCTCTAAATTTACGCTTAGACGTTCTCATGGTGCTGGGTCACAGTTATGTTGTATCTACACATATATGTATATGTAAGTCATAAGTACCTCTTGCCTGCGGCCTGTTAACCATGTATGTATGTATGTAAATAATGTTAAAATGCCTTGCTTTAGCATTTACTTTAGCTCTAGTCTGTCGCTTTCACTTTAACAACAAAATGTATCTGCTAGTATGTGTATATGTATTAGCTTGTATGTGTCATATCCTTTAAAAAAGTGGATTTTTTTTTCAAATATAATAAATTTTTGTCTATTAATATATTGTAACTGCATATCTACCGTTTTATTATGTTATTCCCGCATTTGATCTGCATTTTTATGTCTTCTATTTTCTATTACGTTCGCTAAAGCCTGTCCTTCTTACAAGTATTTGTTTTTGTTTAGCGTATACAGCCTTAGTATTATATTATTTATTTATATTTTTGTTTGCCTACTTTAATATTTAAACACGCCGTAAAATTGTAGATGATATGACGCATAAGACCAACCTTAGCTCACACATTTGTAACCGAATTAATTGTGTGCAGTATAAGACGTAGGCATACTAAAGATTTGTATGCAAATTTTATGAAGCTAAAGAATATTAATAATAAGAAGTCTAGTCAGACTAAAAATACTCGGATTTAATTTAGATTTTATTTATAGCGTTGCCTAATTTTGGTATTAAAATATTTGATTTTATTAAATTTGATTAGTCGCTATGTTTCTAAAAGTATCACCAGACAGTAAATGGGAAATTAATATAATATTATCAAAAAGTATTTTATACTATATATTAAAGCAATTAATGCTAAAAGAGGAACTTAAAAACTTCGTTTTCGTTTACGAGAATACGAATATATAAGGTTTAATAAAAACGCAACCATTATTTTTGCATTACGTTAAAGGTTTTATAAGCATAATTAGAAATTTCTAATTTAGGACATATATCTATGTTCGATAACTTATTGTCAATTGTTAGGTAATTTTACAATGCCACTCTCGTAGAAAGCCTCGTAAGTATTTTTAAAAAATTGCGACAGTCGATTTTCACTAGCTCCTTTTGAGGCGAATTTTTCAACAGCCCAAATTCATTTGCAACAGACAGGAACCGAGAGTAATCACTTGGTTTCAGGTCCACATTATAAAGTGGATGCATAAAAACCCCTCAACCAGGTTCCTCGAACTTCTGGCGAGTCACTATCGATGTGTGTGCTTTGGCCTTGTTCTAATGAAACACAATTCCTCTCATATTGATTCCTTCTGGGCGATTTCTTTCCTCAGACGGTCCAATTGCTGACAGTGCAAGTCCGAATTAAGAGTTTGGTGAGCAACTTATAGTAGATGAATCCCTGCCAATTTCAAACACATAGCAAAACCTTTCTGACTGTTAATCTTGGTTCGGTCATCTTTAGAGTGGGGTTGTCCTGTATTAATGTTATTATCATATTAGTATTTAGTTTTGGTTCCTCACGAGATGAATTAATATCCCATTTTAAAGCATCCTTGATATAAAGCGTTCTTACTTCAAAAATATAGTTTTAATAGAATTTTTTGAAACCAATCATTTTACAAAGAACTACTAGTATCTAGCACAAACAAGCAGTGATTCCTTACTATACCCACCAACATCGAAAGCTACGGTTTCATTCACAATTGAAACATCTAATTTCCTTACCCAAAACAATTTCGAAAATTCAAGAATTTATATTTCCATATCCCAACCTTGTTTGCTTCTTCCAGTCAAAAATTAAATGCTTGAGTTCCTTGAGAATGCTAAAAAGGCTACCAGAAAGCTTAACTTCTCACAATTCCTAAATAGTTATAGCATTAGCCATCCTATACAGGAACTAGTCGCTCATTCAAATCATGGAGAGAGAGTTCTCTATGCGTTTTATGCAGGAAATTTAATTTAAATGGAGAACACTAGCATATTAGCGTCATATTGTGTAATGAAAGAGAATTTCTTACTGTGTAACATAACCTCAATATAACTTCAACTACGAGAGAGCAGTGCGTATTAAAACCCATTTTTTAGTGATGTCGCTTGGTATCTCCAGTTACCAAGGGTCATCGTTTACATCGATCTCTCATGATAGTGCGAAAAATATTGCTCATTCCAGAGTATTCCATAAAATGTTTCGTCTTCCACGCGCCAGTTAGGCTAAGCAACCTTCTGTGTATTAAATTGATAATACCGTCCTTAACTTGAGTCCACCGATATAACAACAACAATATAAGAACTTAATAACTTTCAGGTAATTACACTCCAGTTTCCCACATATATTTATAGTGAAACAATTCTATTCATTTTCACTATTAACTATCACTAAAAAAGTTATTTGATATCTGATGATTTGTGGTGTTTGACTCTTTTAAGTTTTATGTACTTAAATATCTACCCGTCGAATTGAGATCTGTTGATAAGGCTACATATATCTTATTAATATTAAAAGTCATAATTTTCTTAAGCACCAGCTTTGAATATATAATTTAATAATAGCAAATTCTTAATACTAACGAATAAAGAAAACTATTCATATTTGTAGCAAAAAATTTGTAAATATTAACTTATAAAAGACTCACATTAATATATAAAAATGATATTCAAAAGAATTTTTTTGGTGTCATAAAATCAACAAAACTTTTTCCTTGGCCACATTTATATCGGTATTCTAGTCTAGAAATTAAAAAAAAAAATATTTTTTTTTATACGTCGATAGTTCAAAAATATCTCCCTAAAAAATGATTTTCAAAGTTATAGCCATTTTAGTGTCTTCGCAACTCGCCCAATTAAGTTTTAACTTTAAATGGTTTTTTTCGAAACTACTTTTTCGAGGCGGTCGTCACGACTTCCAAAAATGTCCTAAATTTGAGCCTATAGACTAGAATACCCCGTTAAGGAATGCACCCAGTGTGACTACCTAAAAAATAGCGACATTTGAGAATTAACAAAAACAAACAACTGTATCATAAAGTTGTGAGGGTATTTTGACACACTTTTGAAGAATACACAGTAAAATTTTCGAAGTAAAAAATAAAATACTAGTCGAGTTACTTGCGATCTCCGACATCACTAAAAAAAAATTCTCCCCTGCAGCAGTGAAACCTGAAAAAAATTATCTACTACAATAACTGAGAAAATGCTGGACTTAGTGACCGACGTGCCGCCCTTCCGTATTTACCGTCCGTATCAAATGAAATATGTCAAAAGTTATGCCCGTACTAACAACGTAGAAATCAGTTGTTCCCTTTTGTTCACACTTCACATTGAAGTCTATCTATTTTTAAATAATAGTATGTGACTGCGATTTTGAGTTAGTTTAAGAACATTTCAAATACATTCAACTTTACTTGTTAATTACTTCAAAATATCGAGACTGACAACCGTGCGTTGTAAGAAAGCACTCAGCTGACCTGTTTTCTAATCCAATTTTCGCGGATATCCCACGTTACGGGCGGTAGAAACGAACGGCAGTAACGGTAGTGAGTGGTAATTTTCATTGTCCTCTCATAGGTCGTATCAGCTGATACGGTATACAGTTTTGCGTCTGTCACTAATTGATGCAATACCGAAAATATTGCTTGATTCGATTTTTGATCAGATCAAAGTACTAGTGAGTCATTGGAGAGCTATATATGTTACATAGTATGCAGAAAAATCGATCGATCGGATTATTTGTCTTCGCGTAAACACTCAAGCAACTTTGAAAAAAGAAGTTTTGAGCAAATCGCTCTAACAGATAAACTCATAGAGCTAATTGAACTGAGCGTCTACAATTTAGATAGCTGTAACTCAAAAATATTTGAGATATGGATTTAAAATTTTAGTATTTTAAATTTAAAGGTATTACTTATCGAAATATGAAAAATAATCAATTTTTTTTTAAATTTGACACTCGATGTGCCCTTTAGGCAAATTTTTAAAACACAGCAATTACTCGTAGTAGAAAGCACCGCTCTGTACTAAGATTCTATAGAAAATGCTTGTATAACACCAAAAAATACACAAATCACCAACAATTTGCAAATTTTATTAGAAAAGCCTTGCTTATTAGATATTTATTGCTTATAAAACATATATATAAACAACAACAAGTAAATAACAAATTTATATACATAAACTCACAGGTATTAAAAATCTAATTAATTATAAAACTGTGACAACACTTAGCTGCAAACAATCAATTTTAAGCGCTTACTTTACACTAATAACAACAACTAAATAACTATGCTGTTAAATATTTATCAAATTTACCACAAAAATAAATTTATTATAGTCAATAGTAATAAGCTATTACTATCAACATAGAATTAATTTATATTCATTCAAGCACTAAAAAAAGAACTTAAAGAATTTCATACAAAACATAATTTCAAAAAATTACAAATGATGATCAATGTAAAAAAAGTTGGATTTATAATAACATTTCCACACAATGTTCCATTTAACGAAGAAATTAAATACAAACAAAAACAATTTTAAATAAAATATTCAACTAAAGTTTTTATGTGAAGTGGCGAGAAAAACACAGACGAATTGTAAATAAATAATGTAATTACTTGAAGCGTCGACGAATAATATAAAGTTATATTTAAATAGCAAAAAAAAAACAAAAAATATACATTTCACTGCAATATAATTATAATCCAGTTAAACAAAATATTCCGCAAACAGTATTTTTAATTGCTTTGTTAGTTTAAATACATATGTATAAATATTGTTTTTTTTTTGTTTTTTGAGCTGATAACAATTTGCTTTATTAGTATGCGTTAGAATTGTTATCACCTAATTGTTCAGAAATAAATTCAAATACTCCAAAAATTTTGCTTTGTTCTAAAGGGTGTTTTGTTTAGACAAGTAGTTTTCAAGAAGAAATAAAACGCATATCATTTAATGTTATGTAATAAACTCCAGCCGAGAAGCCAAATTTGCGATCACTTTTTGCGGCATTTGGCGCCGTATGCCAGCGCCGAATATTATTTGCCAAGGCGTCAATTGTCGTATATCGTTGTCTTCTTGAAACCAAAGGTCGTCCACAACAACATTATCAAATTCTGGCACGAAAAAGTCATTAATCACAGCTCTATACTCTTTCTTATTGATTGTAACATTATGGCCGCCTTGATTTCTGAAGAAATATGGACCAATGAGTCCCTCTGCCCATAGAGCACACCAAACAGTGACTTGTTGAGAATAAAACGGCATCTGAACAATGACTTGTGGGTCACTTCAAATGCGATAATATTGTTTATTAACGTACTCCTTTAACCAAAAGTGAGCGTCATCGCTGAACAAAATTTTCTTATGAAAATCGGGTGGCCATCTCGTTTGATAATAAATTTGCACTATTTGCAAACGTTGCTCCGGCGTAAGTCTATTCATTTTGAAATGGAAAACTAAACTTAGTATAAATCAAGTAACAGCTGTCCAAAGGACCAAATCCGAAAAAGATATTGCCTCACTGAAAACTACTCCCTTACATTTGCTTAGATAAGACTAATCGCAAACATTACTTTTTTTTTGAAACCAAACCAATATTTTCGAAAGCCTGAGACATAAGTAAAAAAAAGTTTTTGCTCTGTTTTTCGAAATAAGCAATTTGAAGTTCAAAAAAAAACTTTACTATTAGTTATTATAGTATATGGACAGGAAAACTTTTTTTCTTGTTTCAATGGTGTATACAAATTCTCGGTCAAAGTTATATGGGATCAAAGTTGGATCTACCAAAATAAATAAATATTTTATTTTTCAGGAATACTGGCTTGACTTTGAAACAATGTAGCTTCTGGCATAAAGGCCTGACCGAAAAATGTTATACACTATTGTAATAGAGTAAGGTAGATGATGCCCACATTTTTACCTGTTTAGGGACTGCGTTAGTTTATATTAATAATGAGTATAAGCTAGAATTAATAATAATTTTTTCAATAAACAAATTAATATCGAAATTCGAAGGCAAATATTTCTATTTTGAGAGCTAACTTTAAGAAACCGATAAATTACTTTTTTGCTTGTAACTAAAATTCTGCAAAAAACTCATCCGAGTACAGTACAGTGTAATGTATAATTGAAGACCTTTCGGTATACGCCCTTAAAGCAATCAATTTGAACCCTACTTTCAATCAATTCTTCAAAAAATGCCTTCTATAGTATGGAAACAAGGTTTCCAGCACGATACATATTTCTTTTCCTAAAATTTTTGGTATAGTCGTTATTAAAAATCTTCAAAAAGCTTATTAATAAGCTGCTGTCGATGAGAAAAGACGGCGTTATTGTAATATCACAAAATAATTACTGTCAAAATTTCAACAGAATCGTAGTTTTGTTTCGACCGTGAGGAACAGTGGAACAAAGCAAACTATGCTGAGATATGAGTTACAAATTTTTAAAGTTTTTGTTTGACTTTTATAAGCTAAGTACTTATCGATCCGATCTGGTATATGTCTAAAAGTGATTTTTTTTGTGAAAGATCTTTCAATTGGTCGGTCGGTTTTTGTACACTTTATTTACTTCTTTTTAGAATTTTCTTGTGACTTGCATTTACATAACTAATCTTATATGTAGGTAGAATTTCAGCTCTTTGCTTTTACACTTTCATTATCTTCAAATCCCTTATTCAATAAATGTATGCATTGGTTTAAAAAACATTGCAATGCATTGATTTATAAAAAGTTACTTCCTGTAAAACTTTGAATCATATTATGACCTGGATAAGCTTGTTTCCAAAAACATAAAATCTAAAAACTAAAATCAATATTTAAGCTAAATGAAAACTAAAAAGATAGTCAGAGCTAATGGGTACTATTTTTTGAAAGCTTCGTTTAGATGATAGTTCCAATATTTTTACCTTCAATTCTATAAATTTTTAAATGAATAAGGAAAGGGTACTCATGTAAGTTTACCTCTAATTTTGCTTGAACATTTCTTTACCCATTTTTCTATTTTCTTCAAGATTTATTGAAGACTTTTTCTCGAAGCCTTTCCTCACAATTTTTTTTCTGAAAACATTCTCAAAATAGATCTCATAGTTGGGATTTTGATGTTGACTAATAAATGTTTTTGTCCCAGCAGGTATCTTAACCAAAGGCAACAGGATGATATTTCCATCGTAAGAATTATGTAAATTAAACTTGAACAAAAGATTTATATAAAGGCAAATTGATTTAATACAAACTACTTTTTATATGCATTTGAATTTACATTACTGCATAGACTTGGATTATACTGTTATCTCTAATTATTAAAGCTAATACTACACATTAAGTTTTCCTTCGCAAGATCCCTTGAATAACGGCAGATTTCAAAACTCGCTAGTAATAAATTTGTATAAAATATTTATATGCATATATACTTACATATGTATGTATATATGGTATATTTGAAGCATTGTGTTTAGACGCATGCAGAGCCTAAAGCGTAAATATTAAGCAATACATTTTGCAAATTTCTAATATATTATATAATTGTATAGATATTTAAAAAAAATTATGCAAAATATTAAGTATAAAACGAAAAACTAAAATCGCATAAACAACATGCATAGATTATTATTAACTGTTATATAATAAAAAGCGCCCAATATCGGCTAAGCTATATACTATATATATATCATACATACATATAGACATGTACACCAAAAGTCAGCAATAAACTCATAATTTTTGTTAAAAAAAAACAACTAAAATAATGAACAAAACAAAAAGCAGATGAAATAAGAACATCAACAGAGCGTAAAAACTAAAAACTTGAAGCCACCTTTTTGTTAGTGCAAAATAATAATAATTTATTAATATTTTTAAGATAAACACACATAAGTTATTATACAACAGTAAATATATATACATAATTAACTCTGAAAAAATTAGTAAAATAAATGCTGTAAACATATATATATACAAGCCTAAAAAAATGTAATTACAGTTATATCAAGTATGGTATATATAATAATAGTTATTAAACTTGCTAAAAAATTTTGAACATACAATTCAAGCTGATAATATTATAAATTATAAAATAATAAGAGAAAACATTTTTGAGTGCAATTTGCAATTAGTTGAACCATAAGTGAGGTTATGTGGTGCAGCTTTGTATGTAAGCGTAGTTTTTCGAAAAGTTTTAAAGCGTTTCATCGATCGCTCCGATCAGCAAAAAATTAACAATTGGATCATAAACGTTAAGACAAAATGATTACAGATATACAAATAAAGAAATATATTATATAAATAAAGAAAAGTTCATCAATAAAATAAATATTTATGTGTGTTTTCTTCATTTGTTCATTTAAATTGCAAGAGGCTAAATAAATAATGCTAAAATAACAATAGTGATGAAAAACACAGTTTTTATTGAAAATATTTCAAGGTATATTGGCTAACCATTGGACAACCATACGAGAAATACTTTCTTTCTAGGGTAATACTGCATCCAGTATTTTCTCCGAATATTCTTTAGAGGTTATGAACTTTGCATTACCGCATGATTAACAGAGACTTGTATTCAGAATATATATATATATATATAACTGATATGTATCTATCAGTTACTATTATGTGAACACGGAACATGGGTAGAAACCATTATATCGCATATATCTGACTAATCGAAGAACTGGACATATTAAATCCATTCTGAATACCATTGAACATGAGATACTATGTTCCTCGATTCGATATACGGAGTTTAGATTAAGAGAGATAGTGTTTTACATTTTTTTCCCAATTTTTCTATTTTTATTTATGAATACATAACATCTCAAGAATGTTGTGTCAACGTTGCAAATAAATCGGAAAAAATTTGACGAAGTTATGACTATTTGTATACCTGTTTTATGAACGCTTTACGTCAGATTACAAAACCTTAAAGCGTTTTCTCCACAACACATGTTTTCAAAGTCGGTGCTCCTCAAACTTCAAAATTAATGCACCGATCGTACATAATTTACGAGATAACGCCGGAGAGTTGATTCCAAACTTTTTAATAATTTTTATTTTACAATAACAAAGAAGCAAAAATCACGTTTCTTTCTTCAAAGTGTTCCAAAAAAATTAAAATGTTAGATTCCGAAAAACCTTCTCGACGTTACCTGGGATAAACTATTATCTAACGAATGAACCGTGACTTTTTGATTTCGCGTGAACCAGCGTCAAGTTATGAGGGTCACCGCCATCCAACTGTATTTTTTAATATTTCTCCATTTTTCACAATATTCCTTAAATGTCATACTAAAACTTACCTTATTCCCCCTTAAGGTTAGGGCGAATTTATATATACAATGTATATTATATCATTTATGATCAATTTTATTCCGACAAATTGTTGTAACGCACACATATGGTCGTCAAGGTCACCAAACAATGCCGTAAAGAAAAGGGAGGCAAAATAATATATTGAAAGTAGGCATGGTTGAAGCCCAAATGCATCTTTATTCAAAATTTGCCCATATTTGAGTCTATAAGGTATTTAATTTTCACTCTGGTCATTGTTAAAACTTTGAATGCAAACTTGCTTTTTCAGCAATTTCATTAAATTTAACATTTAATTTTCATTCTAAAGGTCGGAAGATGTTAAAAATGACACCCTATTGCAATTTTTATACTCTAAACATAATATATTAAGGTTGTCATGAAGTTTGTAACACCAAGAAGGAAACGTCGGTGATCCTACCTGAGTCGATTTGGCCACGTCTGTTTGTTAGTCTGTTTGTCAGTCCATTTGTCTGTCTGAATGTACATACGCAAAACTGGTTTAACTATTTTACTCAGGTTTTGTGATTTCGATAAGCAATTTGTTTCCTTTTTCCTCAAAAAGCGAGTCAACTGCCGATTTCGGATCACTAAAAAAAATATATATAAATATTTTAGAAGTCAATTTGTCTTATCATCATGATCATTTTGACATAGGTATATAATCCTGTATCTATTTCGATTAGTTTTAGCAAGTACAAACAAAAGTTGCCGTAGTTGAAAACAATTTTTTTACCCTGCGCTACATGTTGCTAGAAATAATAACTTATAACATCTATACAGACCTATAAACAATGGTTAATAGAGTGGGACTAGGAATATATTGCTCGGAGCTTCCGGAATACTCTTCCAGGCGGAAGTCTTTATCATCAGGAAAGCTGCTGAGATAGCTAACAAAGCATAAAATAACATAAAGAATATCAATATAATATTCGATAGCCAGACGGCAATTAAGGCAATAATCACATTACGTCCGAGTATGTCCTTAGAAGCAGGGAGGCAATAAATGTAGCGGCTGCATATACCATATATTGGGTTCCAGCCCATAAAGGAATTTCTGGAAACGAAATAGTTAATGAGATTGCCAAAAAATGCTGTCCGTCTGGCTACCGAACCAGTACAGGAAATACAGAAGTCATATAAGGATATACAGTGAAATTTCCGAAAGGTCTGACAGACGAACCAGGACGAGGAGGAATGCAGTAAGGACGATCGTGTGCAAGAGGCCTGAAGAAAAACACGCATGCTTCTTATTCACACGGTCTCGAAAGGACTGTAGTTGTTGGCCTAATGACAGGTCATAACCAACTGGGAGCGGGATGGATGGGCATAAGTAACGACGATACATGCAGAAATTGCAGGGAGGTAGGTATGAAAGAAACGCTGGAACACCTTCTATGCGTCTATCATTACTTAGAACCCGTCGTAAATATTTAGAAAATTTGCAGTTCAAGGGGCTAGATGAAGTATCAAAATTAGATATCAAGTCGCTCTTAAAGTTTGCAAAAAGCGTTGACGTTTTGCACGACGAATACTTCAAATCATACTCAACCTCCATCTGGTATTATTAGTACAGCCAGCCAGTTTAACCTAACCTAGCCTAATATTAAATAATCCACTTATTCTATTGAATTTAGCAAAAAAATCAGAGCGAGCAAATGGTCTCAAAATTGAGTTTACCAGCGCAATAATTGCATAATAATATTAATTTATCATTTTCATTTTATAATTACGTAAATAGGCAGCACACACACCCACATTCACACACACGATTTCCTAATGCAAAATTTGAAATTCATTAAGGCAAATGCAATTACCCAAGGTAAATATTAAATGTGTATGCATTTATTAGATTTGTGTTTGTATTCGTATTTAGCTGCTAAACATTATCATTATTAGTATTATATATTAACTCAAATTATTCTCACGCACACTTATGTATGTACAATATGTAGCATACTACATATAAATAAATAAAGCTTTAACCATGCAGTTGTTACACAACAAATTCGAATATACAAATATAGAAGTTTGCTGCTGTGGTCCTTTGAAATGCTCCTACATGTACTTATATATACAGACTTTGCAAGCTTTACATGCCATTAAGCATGCGCTGATTAAATGGTAAAAGGTAAAATTAACCGCTTTCAACGTTATGCGAGCGGAACGGAACGCAAATTGTTGTTGCGCACACATGACGAGCATCACCAAGGTCGCCAAACAAGGCCGTCGCTCGGTGGGAAATCAACATCACCACAATCGCCGCCTTCATCACTCTCACCGTCTGCCATAACATCAACGCCATCAACATTATTGCTGTGATTATGCAATGCCTTGCGGGTGTAGGGATGCATTCGATGCTTGCCGTTGGCTGCCGCACGCGCTGCCGCTTCCCAAATCCGTTCAAAGTTGGAAACCGCCGAAGCGGATATTTGCATTTGTTGGTGTCGGTTGTGTGCTGTTGTCGCTGCTAGTGGTGGTTGTGGTGCTGCTGCTGTGGTAGCCGCTATTTTGCTTAATGCCGCGGCAGCTTCCGCTGGATGTTGGCGAAATGCTGTGCCGAATTTTTGGTAATGCTCATTTAGGTTATTGGTCATTCGGCAGCCGGCGATTGGTATTGCCACAACCGGCTGCGGTATGTGTGCGGTTGCTGGAGTGGTCGGTGCATTGGCCGTGGCCGCGGCGGCAGCTACTGCTGCTGCCATATTCGGCACATAATTCGCAATATATTTAATTAAATCGCCATTTACATGTTTATTTTGTTGATCGTATTTTTGCAGGAAATGTGAGACCTCCACAGCGCAGTGTTGAAATCCAGCCCAGAATTTCTCCATATTCAATGTGTCGGTGTGGCGTACAAAGAGTCCGTTTGTCTCACGCAACCGATGCAGATGCCGCACTGTGAGCTCCAAAATGTCAGCTTTCTCTAATTTGGAGAGATTTTCGCCATCCTGGAATTGGAATAAGTAAAGGAGTCGAAAGTTTTAGAATTAATTCCAGTATTTCATTTTAAATACAGTTGTAAGACTGGAGATTATTTTGAGGGTGTTTGATATTCGGGCTTGATTAATTGCACTTCTTCTATTCATTTGAACTTCTGTATAACTGCTAAGACAAATTGAAGTCTTCGAGTCACTAGGGACTGCCAAATCTCAAACTTGAAGATATATTCTATCTAGGAACAACTATTAACCTCGAAAAGAATGTGAACTGTGAAAACTGGCCCAGAATCAACTTTGCCAATAATTACTAGGTGTGACCAAAAAAGTAAAGTCTTCCTCAGAACCTATCTTGCGTCATTCCTAGCCTAAAATATTATATAATACTAATTGCTAACGTTGCAATACGAGCTAGCTCTTTAAGGGAAATAATTCTGAGAAAATGAGTAGCAATGGATTAAAATCCGTCGGCTCGCTGGCGGTGCCAAACTTTCCGACAGGTCTCAAACACCTAAAGGCTGAGTCGCTTTGAAACGGAGAATATTGGCAGTACAAGGGTACATAGTACATTATGCAAGGAAGTACTTTGACAAACTCAGCGTTCTAAATCTGGGTAGCCAATAAGCTCCTGCGGCTCGCCTGAGCTCGGCATTAACATGAACCAAGAGGTAGAATTTTACTGAGAGCTTTGAGCAGAAATTGAATTAATATAAAATTTTGGTCTACCAATGAGGATGCCGTAATTTTGATAGTTCGTGGAGGCCAAGTTTGCTTACGGATGTGTATAAAATTTTGTCCGTGTGTTCAGTAAGGTTTGCCATTTCATTAAGTCATGTTGCACTTTGGTACAACGCTTGGAAATTATCCAAGATTATTACGCAATTATTATTTCTCGAAAAAAATGTTGAAAAAATATTCATCGAAAAATCATATTCTTAAATGAGGCCCATTTCTGACTTAACGGTTTCGTCAACCAACAAAAATTGTCGCTATTCGGGGGAGTCAATCTTTCGTGGAGTTTACGAAGCGCTATTGTATCTCCGATTTTTATTTCCAACAAGACGGTGCGCCGCCTCATTCTTCACGTCTAAACATGGACACATTTTGTGCAGAGTTTGGCGACTTGTTAATTTCTAGAAATGGCCTTGTCACATGGCCGCCAAGATCGTGCGATTTAATGTCTCTAGATTATTTTCTCTATTATTATTATTTTAAATAAAATGTTTACGCCAATTAACCAGCAACGCTCGAGGAGCTCGAAGACAACATTCAGCGCTCTATGAAATGCTGCACCAAGTCATCGAAAATTGGCGTAAACGGTTGGAGATATGCAAACGGAGCCGTACTGGCCATTTGGTCGACATTTTGTTCAAATCATAAGTGGCATAAAATTAATAACACAAAAAAAAAAGCAGAACTCATTTTTACTAAATCTGAATGTTTTATTTTATTTTATTTAAACAAAACGTCGTTCTTGTCGGTAGACTCTTTACAAGGAGCTTAACTAAAATATTATTTGGCTATCGAATCACAATGAATCTTCGAAGGATTGATGAGCAAAGTCATCATGTGAGATAATCAGAAAGTGAAGCTATGTTAAGGATGTACCTAAAAGAGAGGCCGTGAACTCTAAATAAAAAGGTTAACCTAACGACAGTCGATTCTATACAGACAACGGAGAAATCTTAATACTTTACCGAGCTGCATAAGGTTTTTATAAAAATTATACTAACAGCCGCTTTAAGGCGACTTAAAGGAAAATACCCCATAGTTGTCAACGTTAAAGATAAAATATGTTTTGTGAAATGAATTCTTAGACATTGTTTGCATATAACTCAAAAATGTAACCACTAATCTGATAGTTGCTTGAGTTTTGTGGTGCCATCAAAGGATGGTAAAATTTTCGAGGATTACTGAATAGTTAACAAACAAAGCGCCGAAACATCTTAAAGCCTTGCTGAATAGTTAACAAAACGGTTAGGACATTTTCATAATAAAAAGGGGTTTGTGAGGAAGTTGTGAAACCTTTTCAACGCCTAATTAAAGTGTTCCCTCAAAAATCAGATCGGTGGAATATTTTTTTTTTATTAAACCACAACTTACCGCTTGCAAAGTGCTGGTCATTAAATCTTTCAACTCATCCAAACATTTATTGATGCGAGCACGCCGTTTACGCTCCAACATCGGTTTCATGATTTTACGATATTGGTATGTCCGCGAGACTGGCTCCAGCGGTAAGCCATGCAACATGAAATGATGCGGATGATGATTTGGCGCCATTTTCGTGGGATAACTCATGCATGAATTCACTTACGAACACGATGTTATAAAACACAGTTATTTTGTATGTATGTATTTATATTTGCAAATCTTCACTTGATAAACATTGGTCAATATATGTATATTATATATATATATATATAGTAAAAATATAATATACGAACGATTTTCTTTAAAATGAGCTGCACTTTTCAGATATCACTTGTTTGGGTTAAAAACTTTTTAGAACTTTTCACCTGCTTTAACTGCGTTAGACGCTTTATTAACTTTTCACTGTCCTTATTACGAACTTAACTAGTGCACGTTGATAGCAAAAATGATCGTGAGCGCGCGATAAGTTGACTTTTTATTGGAGCTCCCCAATATAAATGCGCTCTCGCCAGCAATTGTACTCGCGCGCACGCTCACTTCCTATTCGTTGGTCCAATGCGCTATGTGGGCCCGTCCGACAAGTGCGACGACCAATCGTCGCGTGCGCCACTTGAAGAAGCGACCGCTCCAGCCCGATACCGCATACATGGAGCTCGTGCACGCTATCTTTCAACACGATTGTGCATCACTCGCCGCTGATCACCATCGATCACTTGCGAACTTCGTTGTTGCAGAAGGCAGTAGTAGTTGTAAGTGTCTGCACAGCGGGAGCTATTCAAGGCACGAGCGTCATGTTTAACTCCAACTTTATTGCTCACATCGCCGCTCTCTCCAACTCTCTGACTGGTCAACAGCAATAAACATAACTATTGTGCTCTCCGCAACCGCTTGGCAGAGATTATTACACAGTCAAGCAGATAAAGTTTCATGAATGAAATTCCTTCGCTGCACAATAGCATTTGTATGTAAGCGTGTTTGCTCATCGTATGAATGAATTTAATACACAATACGGTAGTCAACAAAGCGTTGCGTGGCAAAGTCGCACGATTCTGTAGCTTCTGTTGTTGTTTGGGTTTAGTCAGTAGTGGCGTCAAAGTGACAAAGTGTCTGCCTATGTGCCATTGCACGAGTGTGGCAAGCAACACTCGTGGGACACAGTTGACTCAGCATTGCGTTGCATGCCTCTATGTGAATGCTAAGCGCTGTGTTTATATTTATTTGTAGGTTCATTTGTTTTTGGTTTTCTACAGCGTTTACTAACTGACGTTAGTTGTTTATGTTTCGATTGTATTCCCTTCTGTGCGACGTTCGTTTTTCTCCCGAAGTTCTTTCTGCCGCGCTACTGTATCTTTTCGTATTCAAGTATTCTGTGAAAGCCCACCATACATACTTGTACTCATACAGTAAGTCCATATAATAGTAATTGCAACGGCAACTAATAAAAATGCTGAATTGCGTATGTGAGTGGTGACAGCAAGTAGTCAGTACTGGCATTGCGCTAATCTCGTTATGAATGCCATTTAGTTGTTTTTCTTTATTAAAGAAGGAATCGAAAAAAGCGCAATAGTGGCACAGTGTTCTAAAGCAATATTTAATAGCATAAATATTGTTCGAACTTATCGAGATACTATTTCAATTGACACATATCAGAAACTTTTTTGGAAGCTATCTTTCAGAAAAAACAACTGGGTGAAATACAATCTTATTATGTTTCAGCCGGACTGACAAAAAAAACAAAAACATTTTCACGCATCTTAATGCAAAGCCTTAAAAAAAGTTGCCACTGAGTTATTATAAGCACGTCAATGCTTAATCCAATTATCCACACACTTGTTATAAGCATCTGTTGGGATGGCCTTCAATGCCTTCATTTACGACCAATTGCTTCGCGTTGACACCTCAAAACGGCCTAGTAGTATTCCCTATTGACCGTTGGACCTGTAGAACGAAATCATGGTGAACCCCTTCACAGTACTCAAAAAAGATGACGCGGCACGCCTTGATTCCTCGATTCACACGACAGTCGGTTCTACGTTACCGGAATTGACTCGTATTTTATCCGGTAAGGGTTGTTATTTTAACTATCTAACCCTGTTGGGATCAGTAAGTTTTAGACGAAATTGATCTTTACTGGAGCAACACCTACTTATACCTATAAGTATCCTTTTATCCCTTCTAGCATTGAGTCCAGCACTAAAAGCCTCTATCCAAACTTCATATCCGTTAAGTTCAATACATGCTTCGGATGGCGCCGTCTTAAGACTTGAGTGGACCCCACGTTATGTGGATCCATGCTGTCACTGCACAACTGAGTCATTAGCCTTTATGGACAGCTATTCACAGTGGAGCTATCAGCACCTTCCCCAACTCCCACGCAGTGAATGGCGTACTTGGAGTTAAATCCTCACCCATAGCAGACGATTGCCTCGAGAATTCAGAGTGACCGTCGCGCAACTTTGTTCTGAATATTGTAGCAGATAAAGCAGAACTGACCCCGACATACCAAATATACCATATGTCCTGCATGCAATGCGTCCCCGCATGACTCTATCCACCTCATTGCATGTCAAATTAACCCCAAAGGTCCCTTACAAGAACTTGATTCCGAACGTTCAATTTGTATGGCAGCTATATGATATAGTGATCTGATCTGACCAATTTTTGTGGAGAATAATTTGTTGCCTTAAGCAATAACTCGTGCGTAATTTCGTGAAGATACCTCGTCAAATGAAAGAGTTTTCCATACAAACACTTGATTCCGATTGTTCAGTTTGTATGGCAGCTATATGCTATAGTGGTCCGATATCGGCCGTTCCGACAAATGAGCAGCTTCTTGGGGAGAAAAAGAAGTGTTCAAAACTTCAGATCGATATCTCAAAAACTGAGGGACTAGTTCGCGTATATACAGACGGACGGACATGGCTAAATGAACTCAGCTCGTCACGGTGATCCTTTATATATATACTTTTTATGGTCTCCGACGTTTCCTTCTGGGTGTTACAAACTTCGTGGCAAAATTAATATACCCTGTTCAGGCTATAAATATGTTGAGTTGATCCATAAAAGATGTTAAGATCCTTTGCTATCTCTCTGATGCCAACACGTCGATTTTCAAAGACTGTGTCTTAAACTTTTTCCAAGTTATCGTCATTAGCAGAGGTGGATGGACGACTCCCCGAAATACTTCTGTAACATTTTCATTTCAGATTCTGTAACCGTAATTCCATTGGAAACACAAAATATTAAAGAAACTCGTTGTTAATATACAAACATACGAACATAAAAATCAATGTATTCAAATATTTTTGATTGATTCAGCTTGCCCGCACAGGTTATATAAACCAGTCCGGGTCAAATTTGATGCAATGGTATGAGTATAAAGCTTAATTAGGTATTTAAGCTACCAATTCAGTTAGATCTGAAAATTTTCTCAAACGCTTGCGCGATCTTTCAGAAGGTCGTCGAACAGTCGAAGTATCCTCACATTTACATATATAAATTGATCGCACTCAAAATTTATTATATCTATTGTGCTCAACCATATTATGAATCTTAAATAAATATTTCGTTCATCCATTATTAATTCCGAAAACCACCTATCCCGAAAAATTTATTTACTATAAATTCATAGACCAGCGCGAAATGCCAAAAATTAGCAAAAGGTCAAACTGTCCTTAACAACATAGTATTAATAATTATAACTCTACTTTTAAGCCGCCTAAGGAATGAAAAATGGGTAACGGTTTCCACGTGTAAGTATTCATCTAAAATTAGAGAACGAGTGGTGTTACCAGCGATTTTCATAATGGGAGAAAATCCGGAATTTAACTACTGAATTTGTTACATTAATTTGTTTCCAACAAATGGATTATGGTCTACGGATCTTCTGAGTTCAGATCATAGATCTTAAGATATCCTAACAAAAATAAGCAGTTAAATTATTTTTCATCTCAATACACAGAATAAAGGTTAGGTTGAGTTAAACGGCCAATCCTAACAGGGATTTCACTTAGATAGGTTATAGCTGGTCCCTTTTGGTTCCAAGAACTCCCATAAATTTGATCATTGACTTTGTGCCAATCACAAATTTTTTGACTAATGTCAATTTCGGCTATGTCTACTTGTTCACCAAAGGTATGACTGCCGAGATCTTTTAACAGTCTTGAGAGATCTGGAGAATGGAGGAGAAAGTGCTTGGATGTTTCCATCTCACCTTCTTTCGTACAATTTTGGCCGTGTGTTCGACGAAATTTTTAACCTTACAGCAAGAATTGGCAATGTCCAGTAAGAACACCTACGATTGCGGAAAGATGAACTTTGCTAAGAGTAAGTAGTTCAGTAGTTCTACTATATTCTGCTCTAGCACAGAAGGATATCGCAGTCGCGCAGGGGCGTGATTTCGATTTTGAAATGGTCCACGACCTATTTTATATATTTTTTTTATTCAATAATTTTAAAAACATTTCTTATATCAAATGGATGCACTGTACGTACGTGATGTTCTCGTATGTTAATGTAGTGGTGGCGCGCATAAATATGAGTAAATACGTCAACGACTCCCGTGGGATAGTTGACACCATGGGAGGCTGCTGTCACTGCCAATGTCACTGCCGCAAGTCTAGTTGTGTGCTGTTGCAAATGCCGCTATTGACGCACTTTTTGTTTGTGTGTTTTAATAAGAGATCGCCGCACAGCGCTGAATAATAATAATAATAAAAACATGAGCTTAAAACCAAACAAAAACAATGGAATGCAAATTATGAAAAAAAAAACTGTAAGCGGATATGACAACAATGCGGAGAATATAAATATACTATGTACTATATATTAAGAAATCAAAGCACAGGCAGGAGAGACGGCAACATAAATCCACTTAAACAAAACAAAAAATAAAATAAAGAATTAGAGCGACGCAAAAATTCTTCAAACAGAAAATGAGAAAAGAATAAAATATATAATTATAAATATATAAAGAAATATAAATACTTATTTACAGAGAATTTCAAAAATTGGACACTCTCTAATCTAGACACCCTCTGAAGTCAGAACCGCGCTGGGTGGCTGTGAAGATAAAAATTATCAATATTTCGTCACTCTTTTAGTTAAACCGCAGGCCATGCGACCTGGGTCGTTGTTGTAGTTGAGGAAAAAAACTAACCGGAGAGACATTCACAAGGTGCTAATTTAACAAATTGGCAAATTACGACCCTTTGACCTCATAAAGACGTTGTAATCTTACATGCAGCACGACTGGCGTTTGGCTGCTGCTGCAACAGCAGCAACAACAATAGCATGTTGCACTCACGCGATAGCTTCACGTGGCAGTTACAGCAGTAGCTCTATTCAAAGCACAAAGAAAAATGTAAAAAACAAGATAAAACAACAACCAAAAGGTTAACGCTTCAGCTCTTTCCGTATATTTCCTATAGCGTTTTCCTCGACGTTGTTTTTTTTTTATTCAGTATTCTATGGCTGCGCAACAGTAATTCCCACGATCTGAATTGAAGCTCACGGGCTCGCGCGAGCGCACACATACACGTCGTTACAACTCCCATTGTTAATCGAGTCCAAGTTGGTGCCGACATGTTATTTTTGTTTTTGTGTTTGTGTGTGTCTGTTTTTTTTTTTTTTAC